AAAATTTTGCTAAATGTAAAATTGTTGGTTGACAGTTTTTTCTTTTAGTATTTTGAATATGAGGAATCTGCTGTTAATTTTATTAGGATTCCTTTGTATATAACAAGTCATTTTTCTTTTGCTGCTTTTCAATATTTTCTCTTTGATTTGGCTTTCAGCAATTTTAATTATACTATGTCTAGGTGTAGATCTCTCTGTGTTTATCTTATTTCTAACATCTGTAATATATTTTTAAAAAACTTTCAAGAGTCAACAATGAAGAAGCAAACAATCCAATTAGACAATGGACAAAAGAAATGAAGAGATTTCACTACAGAGGATTTTTACAGATGGTAAATAAGCACATGAAAAATATTCATCACTAGGCATCAGGGAAATATAAGTTGAAATCACAAATGAGATATCATTACACACTTATCAGAATGACTAAAATAGAAAATAGTGATAATACTAAATGCTAGTAAGAAAGCAGAGAAACTGGATCATTCATACATTGTTAATAAAATTGTAATAAATGTTACAACCACTCTGGAAAACAGGCAGTTGTTTAAAAAAACTAAATATGAAACTACGCTGCAACCCAGCAATTACATTTCTAACTATTTATTATAGAGGAATTAAGACCTATATTCACATAAAAACTTGTATATGAATGTTCATAGGTGCTTCATTTGTAATAGCTCAAACCGGAAGCAATCCAGATGTTTTTCAACAGGTGAATCAATAAATGGCTGTACCCTCATACCATCAAATACTACTCAGAAGTTAAGCATAATAAATTACTGCTGCATGCAATAATTCAACCTTGATAAATCTCCAGTGAGTTATGTTGAGGGAAAACAGCCAACACCAAAAGTTTGTATACTGTATAAGTCTATTTGTAAACATTCTGGTAAAGACAAAATTATAGAAAAAGAAGGCAAATGATAGTATGAATTGGTTAAGGAGGAGGTAGCAGCACATGGGAAATGGGCATGGCTATAGAAAGTCAATATGAGGGATCTTTGTGGTGATGCAGTATTCTGCATCTTGACTATAGCAGAGTTAGTATCATGTTTGCTGTATTATAGTATAGATTTGCAAGATGTTACTGTTGAGGAAACCAAGGTAAAGGGTACATGTATATCCTTGTATAATTTCTTAAAAGTTCATATGAATCTATGATTTTCTCAAAGTAAAAAAATTCAATTGAATAAGAAGCATTTCTTTTTATTTATAAAAACAGAAAGTGGGTCAGATTTATTGAGAAAAATGAAAAAGTAAATACAGAAAATTATTAAAAATAGATAAATCTAGGCTAAAGGCTGTATTAGTGTTCTTAGTACCACTCTTACAACTTTTCTAAACTTTTAAAATTTTTTCCCAATTAAAACATTAAAAATAGCAAAAAATTAAAAAAAAAGCAACAAAATAGAAGAGCAGAGTTCAGCAGAGGCAAAAAGATGTATTTTGGTGATCATATTCAAGCTAGTTTGTCCAGAGCACAAAATTTTTGCAGAGGAGAAATGGAAAATAGCATTAGAAAATTAGACTTTAACTGATTATGGAGTGTTTTGATGTGTCGCCTGAGGAGTGTAGATACCATGCACTAAACAGTAGAATGTTATTAAGTATAATAATTGTAAGCAGGGGAATGGCATGATCAAAGTGGGAGTTTTAGAAAAATTGATCTGTCAGTGATGTGTGAAGGAAGAGATACCAGGTAGGAAAATAATGCAGGTAGGAATGCAAACTGCCTGTCAGTTTAGGCAGAGTCAAGAAATTATGTAAGTGAACACTGCAAATAAATAGAAAAGCATTTATTATTTCTAAAAAAATCAATTTCATGAGTATAAAATAGAAAATCTAGCTCTAACAGCTACTGATATATAAAAATTAATTAGAACCCTAGGGATTTTAAATGAAAACAAGTTCAATATGAATTAAAAATATTAAAAGATTTCTGAAAAATCTATAGTAGAGTCTTTGTTGGATCTAATAGAAATGCATGGTCTGTTTATGGGTGATAAATTTCCACTATAATTTACCTTAGTCAGACAAAACCTGAATAACACACAAAGTTCTTGGGAAGCAAATTTTAAAGAAGTATTTCTATTACTTTTAATTTTTCTGTAATTTTGAATTTACAAAAGAAACATGGCTTACTGGGAAATCATGACCTGACTTTTAACAAGCAAGTATAACAGCTTCTTTGTCTTGCATTCTGAGATCAAAAGTGGGGAAATAGAAAGAGAGAGAAGACTGGTATTAACAAGAGATGGAGTTTAACTGGGGATTGCAGTGTGCCTATAGGAAGCTCTGAGATAAGGTTGATAGATGAGGAAGGTTCATCATGATTTTTTTACAATGGAATTATTCATGCAGGCACCCCACATTGAATTGATTTGCTTGAAAAATTTCATTCACTTACTCACACATGAAGTATGATTGGGAAGCCACTTGCTTAGACAGTCATCCCAGATCTCAGTCTCTTAACCACTTCAGCACGAGTGTCGACTATAGCCGATAGCCACAGATGAATGCGCACAGCGACTTTAGCCGACAGCCTTGATATGAAGGGGCACAGCCGAGCGTCGACTTTAGCTGACAGCTGTGATATATGACTTTTCTAATTTTTCACTTATCAAAATAAAATTGTGAACATTTAAAAATAACGTAATGAAAACATATATGTATGTGTTACCTATTCTGATTTACATTACAAGTAAAGCTGCCTGTAAAGTAAAACAAGCTTTCAGTGCTTTAAAGCTTTCCTCATCACACAAGAGCAAAAGGGGTTCGTGGTCAATGCACAGCACAAACTATTGTGTGGACTACGAGTGCCGGCTGTGGGCAAGGTTTTGTGGCTGGTGAGCGCCATACCGAAGTGGTTAATCCAATGTGGGAGACACAATTTCCATGTATGCGTGTGGACTCTTTTACTCATCTTTTTTTGTGTGTTTGTTTTCTGTCTTCCCCATCTCATTTGACAAATGGTACTGTGTATTAGTGTAGATAATTTTCTTCTGGCTATAGCTTTGCCACCCATGTATATTTTAACCTCAGAACATTCTTGATCACTGTGATCTTTTAGTTTAACAAAGTCCTAATTCTTTTATAGATATTTTATTTTGTATTAGTGGTAAAGTGATTCCATGCTCTTTAGTTGTTTGACATTCTTTTATCTTTCCATACCCAAAAATGTCCCCTTTTGCTTCTTTTCAACTTTTAAGTCTCTTCCTTGTAAACTTTGTCCTGACCTACCAGAATGTTTTTTGAAAAATATTTTCAAGTTAGTGTGGACTTACTTCAAGCTTAGGCCCACCAGTCTGTCCCTTTTTTCCCTATAGTGTTCCTTAGCATGCCTCTGATCACAAAAAGCTTTCAGCAGGATAAGAACATGACAAATTGCTTATGGGAGTTGGTATTTGGTTATATTTTACCTATAATTATTTTTAAGTTTGAGCATTATCTTGATCAAAATATGCTGAGAGATTTTATTGTATAGTTTTTTTCTCCTTTTTTTTTTTCTATATGGTTTGTGGATGAAATATTAGGAGATGGGGACCTAACCAGCCGCCAATGTCTTCAGATACCTAGATATCTTCGATTTGTTTTTTAAGTATATTTTTCTATTGTTTTAAAGGAAATTTGGATTTCTATGGGGAGATAAATACAGTCAATTCTTATTATTTGTGGTAGTTATATACTATTGCCACGGACACTGAATTAGTGGATACTAAACCATTGCTCCTAGGGGAAATATAGTTGGATTATAGTGAGACACTGTTCACAACATTTTTATCAGCCAATCAATAAATAACCTTGTTTTGTATGTGTTTCTTTTCAAAGACTCCTTAGTCAATATGGATTGGGATTCATTAACATTGAACTCAGATTCAATGAGCACTATCATGCTTGAACAAAGCTTGTCTGACATACATATTTTCTCCATAAGGCACACCACCGCTTCTTAAGAGCACTAGACAGCCCTTCAACACTGTGGGAGGGGGCATTTAAATAGTGAAACCACCAAGAAAAAACACAAATATGTGAAAAATGTGACACTAACTACACTGTGAAAAGGATAGTTGTTTTTTATCATAAAAGTTAAAACAAGAAGGCAAAGTGTCACCTTTTCTTACCTCAGCTTGGGACATGCTTGTCGGGTCTTCCAAATTTTTCACTGCATTAAGCATGCACATCTATGACATGACTGTGAAAGTTATGTGATTATTTATTTGGGGTTTATAAATAAATTTCAGGGAGTAGACAAATTCACAATTATAGAACCCATGAATAATAAAGATCAACTATATATGTTCCTAGTTTGCCATGTAAACTGGAGGTCCTCAGGCAATAGAAAATTAATTTTCATCTAAATAACTTTTTGGAGTTTTATTAAGTGTATTTTTCTTTTTCGTCTTAACCTGAGGCCTTTAAGCATAATTATCATTGTAATTATGTAGAGACACAAACAAGCAAGTATTTCAATCAAAAAAATATTGATGTCCTGGCCTATCTTGGAATAATTGAATCAAAAGAGAATTAGTAGCTATAAATTCAATTTTGTTATTTGAGGACAATTACTTTAGAACAAATGGGATTTTGTGTCAGGGATGTTCTATAGACATCTGTGATTGTGAAAATATCTAATTATACTTATAGCTAGTAAGGTAGATATAAGCCCAGCATGATGGATAAAGAATATCATCCTGTCCATATCTGCTATATATTAAAAATTAAGAGTGTCATTTTCTTAGAGAGCACTTGCCTTCCATGCATTTGGTTTCCCTACCACAGTTCATGAAGCAGAGTTAGAAGAATATAGATGATGCAATGGCTTGTGCCTGGAATAAAGGATGTTCTCTGAATCAAGTGCACACACACAGTCTCAGACACCACAGTCTCTGTAGCTAGGAGATGTACATCCTTCCATTATTACTATCCTACTCATTCTGTGTTGTATTATTATGTACCTACCAGATTCCAGTGCTGAATACATTTACTTTTTTTGCCAGGGTTCCTGGACTAGCCTACAATTGTGATTTTCCCCTCTCGAAGCAGAAAACGATACAAATGAAGGAATACAGGTGCAGAGAAAGAAAGGTAAGGGAATGGAGAAAACTTTGTTAACTTAACACCTTTGTCTTTAGACTAAAGTTGTGGGATACATATATTGTAAAGTGGCACTTGGTCCAATGACATATAATTTGGAAGTAACTCATACCTGACAAATATATGCAAACAATGATGATGAGTTTTTCTTTTTCATTTTTTTGTGAAGTCAATTCAATTATTTATCAAGGTAAGGATCCATTTGTTCAGAGGCTTAGTGAGATTCCATTTTGGGTAATTAAGATATTTTGCTTTTTGTGAAGCTAAGAAAACGTATTTTCTTTGTATGATCTTCAACGGATTTGGGAATAGTGACACTAGACAACTTGAATTAATATCCCATATCCCTTGCAATTCTTGTGTGACTTTGGACTTAAGCTTAATGAACCTGTTTCTCTATAGCTATAATAGTGACAATAATATTACCTCTCCCAAAGGATTCCTGTGAAATAACCTATGAAAAGCAGTTAGCATTATTTGTGACGCATAGTAGGTGCTTAAAAAGTATTGGTATAGTTATTATTTGCTTTTCATTATGTTTTCAGAAGTTATGAAGTTCAACAGTAATAGAAATGGTGTTCTGAATATCAGTCATCTGGTGATCTTCTGTTAAAGAGCAGTGTGTGTGTGTGTGTGTGTGTGTGTGTGTGTGTGTGTGTGTGACTTGGCTCATCTAGGTAGGCAGAGACTGTTTTCTTTCTCATATTAGCCTTGACATCTGGCACAGGTCTGGCACATGTCAAGTAGGCACCCCTATTGTGAATGGCTATGTCAGGTAGTAAGTGAATCAATTCTGCTAAACTTTTATATTTTCCTATTAATTCTTCCTATTCTCTAATGAATTCCGGCACCTCTTTTCCACAGGTGATAGTCTGTTGGCTGCTTCAGATTAATTCCTTTTACTTTTTCAAGGACATCTGTCTTTCCTAAGAAAGCACGCTTAACTCAAATGAAGCTTCATCAGCTTCAAAATGTAGAAAAGATGTGTTTAAGTAATGGGGGGAAGGACTTGATGGCTCCCCAATCTAAAGTGTGTCCAATGTACTTGATTTTATAATCACTTCCAGGATAACAAAATAGTGAGTAGAAATTTTATATAATTTTAATAGTTATATATCAAGCTCTTATACCTTACGTTCAATTGGCTGGTTTCTTTAGTTATGTCCCCATTCTGATCAGACCATCGGATATGCCTTACTCTGAAATGCCAGAGCAACTCTGGAATAAGACCAAAGATCGAAACCTGCAATCCTCTCTCGTTCAACCCATATCTCGCTCTAGCCATCCAGTAATTATGTCTCTTTCACATCAGTGTATTTACAACATGGCATTCCCCTATCTGCCCTTCTTCAGTGATAGGTAAGTGAAATTGGAGAGGAAGGAAAAAATGAAGAAAAATAAAATTGAGAAGAATAAAATGTCAGTCATTCCATATTTATTGAATCAATATCTGTAGAGGGAATCAGAGATCTATTAAAAATTTTTCTCCACAAAATTCTGATGATCGGGAAGCTCTTCTTTTAAACCCCACTAAAATGTGTCTGTGTCACAGCCATATCAAGGCCTCCAGTGCTTCCTGAGATTTCTGAAAACTATGCTGAACAATTGAGAGATTTTGTGAGGAAATATTGCAAAGGAATGTACAAATTATCAGTGCTTAGTCACTATCGTTTAGCCTTCTTCTGTACAAGCTCAGTCCAGTAGAAGTATAATGTGAATCACAAAGACAAGTAACATAATTTTAAATTTTCTGGTAGCCACTTTTTAAAAAAGTAATAAGTAATAGGCAAAATCAATTTTAATAAAATATTTGACCCAAAAACCCAAAGCTCTATCCTTTTATATTAAAGTATAAATAATTTTATATTATTTTTTCATATTAAATCTTTGAAATCTCATGTATATTTTACTCTTATTGCTTAGAGACCTTACACAGTACTTATAGATCTTAAGTACTCAAGAGCATGTGGCTTGTTGGCTACTATATTGGAAAGCACAGGTCTAGACAGATGTAAATGATTAGAAGTAAAGGCTTATCAACATAACATAGAACACAGCATTTACATTATTTATATTTTCACTATGCATCTCCATTCTTCATCTTGAGAATTTGAATTGTGTTGGAAAAATATTCAACAGAAAAATAAAACTCAAAACCAAAACACATTTGGGTAAATAAGAAGCATTTGAAAATGCTCAGGTATTCCCACTGCTCTTCTGCAGGCCTCATACTCACAATCCTTGCATCTCAGCCACAGGTGGTGAGTGGAGCCCAAGCTGGGAACCTCAGACATTTCACAGGGGCTCTGGCAAGTTGACAGCTGCTTTATTACTGGGCTTGAAATTGAGGTTAATAAAAGGGACCTGAAGTCCGGTTTGTGGAGACAAGGCCACCATCATGTGGAACCTGACGGAACTGCACTGAGATTCACGTTCCCCTTGCATGGGCGAAAACGCAAATATCGAGTTATTAGTGCATCCCCACCGGGAGAACACTTCAAGAATGCCTTGTCAACATAGGAAATGTACAGTAAACCTGGAGACTGGAGGAGATTCAGAGAAGGCCAATGCCTGTTTAAAAAGAATCAAAAACCAGATTGAAATAGCTAAATCATATGTGATTAAAATCAATTAAACCATAAAATGTAAAATGGGGACTTATACAAATCTCTGCCTGCTGAAACCAAGTTTTACTTGGTAAAGGGTCAAGTAAAATATTGGGTTAAATTTACCCTTTTCAACAGGAAACTTCAAAAAAAATCTTTATTGTAAGAGATAACAAAGATTTTTAAATAAAGCAAGTGCTACTACAGGATGATAGGCTAATCTTTTTGGAGAATAATCACACCTGATAGTTATCGGGAAGGTTTGAAGTGACAAGATGTCTTTCAAATGGCAAATGGCTTCGGCAATATCAAGGAACTTAGACTATTTCTATGACAATTCTACACATAGTCTATCTTCTAGTTTCAAAGCACTGCAACATGATGCATTATATAATAAGAAAATTTCAAAAATATTTAAACATATAAAATGTAGGCACATTTTGTCGTGAGGTTGATGAAATGGTCAGGATGTCCTGCTGAGAAAAATGAGACAATTATGTAATATCAAAAACAGGTACCACAAAGTACATCGCCGTGTGTTTTTATCATTTCTTCCACTGAAAGACTCATGTTCTCCTTTTCCTCCAGCACACTGACATTTGCTCCCTGGAAACTCCAGGGCTTATTAACTATATGCTTTCAGAACCTGTAGAAAAGATTAAGTGATTATCAGGAGCCAATAAGATTCATCAATTAAGAATATGTCAGAACAAATTAGCCTGTTTAGATAGGGTTGACACGCAGAGTATAATGATTTCTACATGGCATTTAAACAAAGGCTAGTCTTATTTCCTGGTTAGTAATATGGTGAAATATAGTCAGAATTATTATCCTGCAAGCTGTTGAGCAATTTCTTCAGAGATGTTTAGTTCTTTCTATATTCAAGGGCATTTCTAATAGAATATTGCTAAACTTGGTGATTTGTCCTTTAAATATTTTAGCAATGACATGACTAAATGCTTAGAAAACATGGCTATCAAATTTGCAGATGACATAAAATTTGGAGTCTAGCTAATATGATAGATGCCAGAATCAAGTTTTGAAATGATTGTGACAGGTCTAATCCAAAATGATAACATTTAACAAAGATAAATGATCCTGCATTTTCGTTTAAATAATACATGTTACGACTGGATTGAGAAGACATTTCTTTGAAGCAATTTATATAAAAATAATCTGGAAATTTTGTTTACCACAAAATATAAGTTTGATAACACCCACAGAATTTTAGTTTACTGAAATTGGACCTTTTGGGACCAAATCAAATTTCATGATAGTCTCCTGTACTCTATGCTAACTGGACAACATTGTGTTGATTCTTGTGCTGCATTTTGAGAGACATACTGACAAAGTAAATGGTATATGCAGTTAGAATTCTGAGATGGTAAATGCTGTATAAGCCACTTGTAAAAAGGTCCTATTTAAGGAATTGTAATTATTTTCAATACAACATAGCAGTTATGCTCATAAATTATGACATTAAAGAGAACTGAGTTCCAGTCCCAGAATAGCCATGGCAGCCTGACCTTGGGCAAGTTATTTAATGTATTTGAACCTCAGTTTCTGCATCTGTAAATTGCTTATGATAATAATGACAAAAAGAATACATGCTGGCAGAAGTTAGATTATAAATAGGGATTGCACAGTAGACATATTCCATTTGGTTTCATATGATAAAACTGATTCAAGAAAGGGAATTTTAATTTAATATATTCTAGTAATTTAAATTATCCAAGAGAGTAGTTAAATTAGCCAATTAAATTACCCAACAATTTAAATTGTCTTTATAGGTAATGAGCTCTTTGTCACTGAAGCTATTCAAAGGAGTCTGAGTTCCTAGCTCAGGAGACTCTTGCCGTCAGGTGGAGCTTTGATGATGTATGCACACTAATTCTCCTCTATATAGCCATGTCATTTATTCCTACAACATGCAGTTACTGGTGCCGGGCACTGCACAACTGAGAGACAGATGGGCAGGTGACCTGCTTCTGAGCGTCTGAGTCTAATAGAAACACACACATGCTCAAACAGTTCCATTACAACTGGCTAAGGGACGAGTGTGATGCACTAAAGCAGAATGAAGGAAGAATGCCTGATATAGCCACAATTTACCTATCTGTTAAGATTTCTTTTGCCTCATTGCTTATTTTTGTTCTTATTTGAAATATCACCCTTAAAATTAAAACAGAATCACTTTGAGTATTTAATGGCTTGCAACAAGTTTTCTTCTCCCAAATCCTATTCTGGCTTTCTGTCCATTTCTCTCTCCCACATCCTTCCTAGACTCTTCCTCTTTTAAGTTTCCCCTCCTAATATTTCTAGGGCAGTAGAAGGGACAACACAGCATGTTCTCTACATTCTGTTTTCTCTTTTTTTCTTCCCCTT